AGTCTCTTGGAGGAGAGACGAAACGTTTCATTAGAGAAGAACCCGTCCAGAAGACCTATACTAATTTTTTCTTTTTATCACTCAGATATGTATTAGGAAGAATTCAACAACATTTATTTGACTTTTAGATCCTGATTTTAATAAGCAGAACCATGCAGTAACTGTCATTACAGCAGCTCTGACTCCTTTCATTTCATGTTATGTTTTCAGGTGATGGGTGGTCTCGATGGAGACATGTTTATCTACTACAAGATGTTGATGCTGCAGGGTTTGATAGCAGCCAGAAAGCACATGGAGAAAGTGCTGCAGATAGTTGAGATCATGCAGCAAGGTAACGACGACGAGCTTCAGTAAATCCTCCTTTCACAGGTTAAAAAAGTAAAAAAAAATAAAGCATTACCACCGTCTTTGCTTTCACGAATCTCCAGGTTCCCACCTGCCGTGCTTCAACGGCTCCAGCACCATCCGTGGCCTGAAGGAGCGTTTCCACATGTCCCTGACGGAGGAGCAGCTCCAGCTGCTGGTGGAGCAGCTGGTGGACGGGTCCATGCGCTCCATCACCACCAAACTCTACGACTCCTTCCAGTACGTCACCAACGGCATCATGTGACCCGTTTACACCGGGGAGGGACGCCCTCAGGCCAGGTTTTTCTTCAGTTCTCCCTCGTTCTGATGGAAACCAGGAGATCCACGTTGACTTCCTGGATTTAAATTTTGTGATTCTTCTGGAATCTGGGTCGGATTTTTGTGTAGGATCTTGGAAAGTACAGAATCTGAAACTTTTCCAGATCAACAAACACTATGTAGAAAAAAAAGGCCAGAGACTTAAAAGACTGAGCTGCTGCCTGAGATGGATTTATTTTAAACCTAAAGGACTTCTACTGGYCTCTACTCTGAACCAGCTCGTGAGCTTTTAGTTTGGTTTGCGGGTCAGGTCGAGGTTGCATCGCCGCTTCTGAAAGGGTTTGATCAAGCTGGGCATCGTCATTTCATCGTGAAGGAAACCATGCCATCATCTTTCTTCGTTAAGCTCCTGGGATTGTCGCCACTTTTGACTTAATTAGTCGCATTGTGAAGAAAAAAATTGCACAAAAACTGTAAATGTGTTTTTGTGAATTGGTGAAATGAAATTAATTTTCTCAGTCTTAAGTGTTTAGAAGTTTTAGAAGATGACAGAAAAGAATAGCTACCAGAAACCACAGAAAATGGAAAAATCTTTATAAAAATGCTTTTCTGCTGCACGTTATCCCATGACAGCAGCTTGTTCCAGCTGATGCTTGTTAGATAAAATTCACCAGCAGGACGTCTGGCTGTGGCGTCTCGACTGATCCAGGAACTTTATTCATATTTGTGGTTGTTCTTGAGCAACAGAAACACTAAATGGTCAAAGCACAACATGAACTAAGATGAGACTTTTCTGGATTTTTGAGAGAAACAAAACTAATTTGAAATTTTGTTTGAGAATAGTTTTCTCAATTGAACTTGAATGCTTAATGTTTAAGTGTTTTCACCAAACCGCTTTTGCAACTGCAAAATCTGAGCTCATAAATAAAAGGAAGTGCAGCTTGACAACACAGAATATAACCACCAGAGGCTAATGATGATAAATTTTGGATACAAACATTAGCATGCTAACAAAATGTGCCAGTTTGAGCTTAAAACTCAAACTGTGACCATAGACTGGGACATAATGTGTAAAAACTGTAGCAAATGTAATGTTGCATTCTGCATCCTGACCAGCAGAGGGCGACTCTGTTACCAGGGTTCCTGCAGATCCTTAAAGTCCAAAAATAAGGCCTTAATTAGCCTTAAAATGTCTAAAATCAATCATTCATAGGTCTTAAAAATTTTACCACATTTTATGTAGGATGACTAATTCATCTTAAATATTACAATGATTGGTAAAATTTTTGTTTTTTAAATAATTGACCGAATGCCTCTTACAGCTCGTTTTATTTTAAAATAAATATTTGGCTAAAACTGTTGCTAACTGGGGTTTTTTCCGTTTGTGTTCATTGTGAAGTTGATCTTAAATTTCATTTCAAGTGGCATTAATTAGGTCTTGAAAAGTCTTAAATTTTACTTGCCTTAAGCTGCAGGAACCCTGGTTACAGACGTCTACATGAAATTAACTGTTCTTGATCGTTTATCTTTAAAAATATGATTCTACGATTCTAATCGATAGTTCCAAAAGATATTTAATAGAGCAAAATTTAAATTTTTACAAATAAATTATAATGTTAATTAGAAAGGATGTCGTCCACATTATGATGCTAACAAGTCTTATGGTTTTAGTCACTAGGTTTTAAAATGCGAGAACAGTGAGCTATAGCTAAACTTATCAACTAAAAGAAATTTCAAAATAAGAGTTTTGAGCTCTTTAGTCATATTTATAATTGGACACTATTTTTCGCCTTTTATAAACAAGAATTTTAATGAATTTACTTGCTGTTTAATAGTTTTCTGATTACAAGTATCTTCTGCCCCATAAARGTTCAAATAATTTAGTGTTTTTGATCATTTAAAAACTTTCATAAACAACGTGCTGCAGGTTTTGCAGATGTGATCACTGTCTGGTGGATAAACTGCAACTTTTTAATATTTATTTTTGCCTCATTCAAGGTCCAAGTTTAATTTCAGAAAAGGATTTGTAATTTATTATTCCTTCTCTAATTTTCTGTCAAAACACTTGTGGTAAAAATGCTAATCTGACGCTAATGCTAACAACACAAATCTAAAACACAGACTACACAAAAACACGGCTATGTTCACTTTAGGCAAAAATGGTGACAGAGCTGCATGGGAACGACTTAACGTCTATAAGGAAGAATCCGTTTGTTTTTATCGCTCTAAATGTGTTACAGTTGAACGAGCATGTTGTATTTGCATATTTAACGAACCGTAACGTGCTTCCTCCTGATTGGTTAAGACACATTCCTCTGACTGATACCAGCCAATCAGGAGAGGCGGTTCTGTGCATCAGTTTCAGAAAAAAAGGGACTTTGAAAGTTCAGTTTTGATCTGATGGGGTTCCTGAACATGTGAAAGTGTTTATTTTTTTTCTAATTGTCCACTAAAATCTTGTAATATTGTTCTCGTACAGATGTGTTGACAAGTGGACGCTTCTTGCTTCCATTTTAAAACCACTCAAGGTGTTGGACTAACGTTGTAACTCTCGGCACTGGCTTTACTCCAAAGTCCTAAACGCAAGAATTAACAAAGCGTTTTAGACCTAAAAATATATTTCCTCATGAGGGGAAGCACTTAGAATATTTTTCTTTACGTACTGTATCCTGAGGTTGAAAATCCGATTAAACAGTCCAAGGCTGTTTGATCAGTTTTGTTGTGAGGTTCCCGTCTTAAAGTGCAAACAGACGAGCCTTAAGGTGTGCTAAATCGCATCTCTGCAGCTTGCTATTGCAACTATATTACTGTGTGCTAATGATTTGTAATTGTAACCTTAAACCGTGCAACAAAAATAGTGTTTAGTGCTGCTCGGAYCTTTAGCTCGTGCTTGTGAAAGAGGATTACAGCATAATTAAAGTCATCAGGTCAGACATGTTTACAAACTAAAACAACTGATAACTGAACATCTGGTGCTGCTGCACGGCACCGCTGCATTCAGGAGCTGAGCCTCGACACCAGCAGCTGTTTATCCTCGTCCCCAAATCAGTCTGGTTTATTCTGAAGACGGTTTTTATTTATTGTGAACGAGTTACCGAACAATAGGACAATTCAATCAGCCTAAAAATTTTAATTTTAGTGAGCAAACGGGCATCCTATGATAGCTTTTATCCATACCTTCTAGCTTAGCAACATGCTAAACTAGCTTCGGTTTCATTTAATTAAGTTAAAATGTTGATTAAATTTAAATTTGACTTTAAAAATGAAGTTGAATGTGAAATATTGGCTGAGGAAATAGATCTTCCAGCTGATTCGATGTTTAATATTATTAGCAATGATTGGGCCGACTAAACAAACTTCTCTTTGTGTAAATATTACTCCTTTATTTCTGAATATATATATTGAATAAATTCTAGCTAGCCCAACAAATCTAGCAGCTAAATGACTGAAGTAAAGTGACATTTTTGTGATTTGCTAATGTTTATTTTGTCACATTTATCTTAATTTTTTTGTATTTGCTCCATTTAAACCATTTTGTTTTGTAATTGATGTGTTTTTTGCGCCATGAGGAACAATTTGCAATTATTTTACACTGAATTGAGACGTTTGTGGAGTTGAATATAAAGCCAGTGTCTAGAGAACTGTTAGCCTGACATCTTTGTCCACTTCATTCTTTTTGAATGTTTTATATTTTTTGTTTAGTTTTGACCACTATTGAGGGACAAAAGCACATATTTGTTGTTGTGAAAGCAACATCCTGTTACGTTTATGCTAACCATCAGCCTGCTACTTTAAACATAGCTGTGACTAAAGTTTACCAGATACGCAACTGAAATAGCAAACAGTTTTTTTTGCTCTTTTTTTTTTTTTCTTAAACTGTAAAATAAAATGTTATAGTAGTTATGTTTGTTTGTTTCTGTAAGAAAAATTGCTGCCTTGAGACGTACAGAAGGTACAAACTCTTATCAATGCAACCGGAGGGACGATGGTGTTCGGACCTCATAAGTGCTTTTTATATTTGATATTTGAAGACTTCGGGGGCGAGTTTTAATAGTCGGATGTCCTCCTCTTTGACGTTTACCACCACATTATTGTAAACATTTGAGAAATTGTTGAACTGTCAAAAGTATCCCTTTAAAACAAAACTGTAATATAGTGAAAATAGAAAAAAAAAGTGTTTTCTGACTAAAGTTTTGTTGCGGAAACGACCGTTCTGTTGAAACTCGCCCTGCGACTGAAAACCTTTCATTGCCTTCTTTGTTCCTTTCATCAGCTCTGAACAGTTTGACACTATCAATGTGAAAAACTTTAATTAAGTGCATTTATTCTAAGGTTTGTGTTGTTTGAAAAGACTCCTTGTTGTTGTCAACTTCATTTGGAAGTAAAAATTTGTCACTAAACACTTTTTTGGGGTAAAATTTTATCAAGGTATTTTGACTGAAGTCTGACAAAAAGGCACATTTCATTCCAAAATGCTAACTAAAGCCAAGTGCAAAATGAACTTTTTATGTAAAAAAAA